TCTACAGTCATTGCTCCGAGTCAATCCTCTCCCATGCCCCTTTAAACAAAATGAAAGGTGTGCAAAGAACAATGTAGTGAGGAAATCTTCAACATCCAGCTTTTCTTCATATCTAAGCTTATAGTATTTTCGCTAATGATTCAAGTCAATAAACACTACAAATTATGCAAAATTCTCCCATGGGAAGCGAACCTCGGTCCATAAACTGGAATATCTGAAGAAGCATAGGAAGGAAAAAAATTATGGAGAATAATACAGCTTCTCATTGCGACATATATGACTTGAATTTTCAAAGCGAATCCTAGATAAGTGGACCCCTTTGCTGTTTCTTTAGTGACGGCCTGGCAGAACACGCTAGCAACAGAAGCCATTTATTCGTTATGGAGCAGAATATCCATAAAGGAACGATCTTACTAAAAAATATTACAAATGAAATTGAATAGGAAAAGATCGGCCTTGCATCTACTCGTAATGGAAGTAAGATAAAAAGAATAATCCAAACGCGTCGACTTCTTGAAAGAGATAACTATAACTTCGACTTCAAAACAAGAAAATATTCAATCATTCAAGCCTTTAGTAGCTTTAAGCAAAGGTAAGATGAGGCAGTGGGAAGATTACCCTCCATCCATAAGATAAGCAAAAATAATCGAGTTATTATAGTTTAGGGGAATATTCAGCCATAATGGGTTGTTCACAAGCAGTCGAATTTCCCAAAGATAAAAGTGCGTTTTAAACTAGAGTCGAACATTTTTAGCAGAAATTAAAAGAGGACGCCAACATTTGTAAATTTTGAGATACTGGACTGAGTTGGAAATTATTTAGAAATAAATTAAGACATGGTCAAATCGTAGGTTGAGAAAGCAGGTTAGGGGCCATTCTGAATAGCAGATATATGATAAGCTAAGTAACAGTATTGTTCCCTCAGGGAGGCCTAAATTCATACATATATTCGCCCGAAAGGCGGTAAGTTAGCAGCAGTTATGGCAAAATTGGAGCCACTAATCTTGGCTGCATCGTTAGCAGTAGAGTCACCAAACGGAAGGATACCATCGAATTAAAGTGCAGGAACTCAAAACTTTTCCCTATTTACAAAGCTGGAGCGCTTTGTTTATATATAGCCTAAATCATTCCAACTTGCAGTCAGGGATTTAAGAAACTCAGAACGAGCAACTTGGGTGACAAAAAGTGGCGAGAAGAATAAACTAATGGAAGGAGCTTGGTCATAACGAAAAGTTATTTATATAGTTAGAATTTGTATTAAATAATCATGAAGTGGGCCTCAGTACCTTTATAAACAATTAACTATTTTGGATAAAATGATAATGTAATGCCTAGGATACATTGTTGTCAGGTCTTATAAATAAGACGTCTTTCAGCAAATTCAGATGAATTGTGACAGATGTGTCTGTTCGACAGAAATCTTCAGTGGTAAATGGTAAGATTAAGTAGTGCCTTTTTGAGTTTATTTAAGGATGATGTAGATTGCAATCGATCTGGCATAAAAACACTGAGCAAACTACAAAAAAGTGAGGATTTATTCATTAGATTTACTACATGAACAGGCTCAGTTCGGATAGTGCCTCGTCGTTAAAATAGGCAAAAGCGATTACACTTTGGCTGATTAGTCTCCAGCCCGCTTTGGAACTCATAACCACTCAAGAGCCTGTAGACATCCAAATGTGCAATCCCATTCAAACAAGTTGTTCAGTCAAGAAAGCATATTTTTAGTGTCAAGTTCACTAATGAGGTAGGTAACACTAAGCCATACACGCATTTGCATTGGAGGCTTTAATCATCATACGAAAGATGCTCTCAATCAAACCTATACTGACAACGACGCTATGGAGAGAAAAACCATTATTCAGCTTGCTGGTAATAAGCTGAAAGACTAGATAAGTTTCAAGTGCAATGCTCAAAGTGAAGAGGAAAGCAGATGTGTTTATCAATAGAAAATTAATATGGAAAATCGACGAAATTTACTGGAGACTAGCTTCGCTGTAAGACCTATTAATTGGTCCCGACTTGAAGCCACACAAAGATAGTCGTCGCGATAGCGCAACACAATATACGGGCCTTCTGACAACCAGAGACTATGGTAGTCTTTATCCAAACTGCAAACTCCTGGAGAGTTTGTCGCAGGAGCTGCATTGACGGAGCAATGCGAGGATCGTATAGAGGCCAGATTACATCGGGTACCAAATGTGCAATGGCGAAAGCTATCGAGCAGACCGGCTGCACGATCACAGTGCGCCAGATAAAGACTGGCCAGCTCGCTGGAAACGCAGGAGCCCTGAGGGATTCCACGCAATTGGGTGAAGTGTAGCCCGGCAAACTGGACGGTTCAGAGAAAGTAAGGTGGGAATGCACAAAGACAAGAAAGAAGTATGAATAAACAAAAAAATTGATGTGAAGACTTTCATTTCGAATAAAAGTACATGATGAAGAGATTCGTAGGTCAATCTCACCAGGAGACGTTGGCGAATTCGCGTTGTACTGCAGCCGTTTGGCCTTAATACGTTCAGGTTGATGCAATCCACGAGACATCCCGCAACGTTTCGCGCGAATACGGACTGAGATTTCGTTCGTTATGTGACGAACATCGTTAGAGCTTGGACTCATTTTTGTAAAAGCTTCAAATTAGCAATAGGTCAAGAAGACTAATTAGCTTTTTTCTATATGATATACACACTCATTGCGAGCAGAATGTAAGATATAGATGGCTATAGTAAGGTTTTGTTAATTCATGCATACTCGAATGCGTCGGTATATGTGTGCTAAGGCATGTACGCAAAACCTGACATAACTCATAGTAATTAGAAAAGTGATTGACGTTTTTGTCCAAAGGAAAAATGAAAAAGTATAACCATGATTGAGTTAGTCCGTAAGTAACCCTGGTCAAATTGATGAGATATAAGCAGTCCAAGCCCGTTAGTCTGGTTCATTAAGGTTTAATGACCTAAGAAGAAACTTGACTGGGATTGCGAAGCCCCGCACGTCTGTTTTGGCTGATGAGCTTGACATATCTGTTGAACGAGTGTTAGCTTGGGTAGAACCACCACTCAGCTGACAAATTGAGTCGTCTTTTGGATGGCGAATCAAAATCCTATCTCTTTCAATGCATCACTCAGGCATAAGTGAATCTTATTCAGCTTTCTAATATCATTCCTTACATTCAACTTATTCCCTAATATATTAATTTAATAGCCTCTCATATCTTTTGTTTCGTAGCAGACGTACCATAATCAGCAAACATCTGTGCACGAGACCCTCCTATCTAATGTCCAGTCCCCGTCATGTTCCGCCACTTCTGGCCGTAAGGTCCAGATGCCATTTTTGTCTTCCGCCAATCTTTAGCGGATCAGGAGACAGGTCCCACCAACATGAGGTCGATCACATGAGCACATAATCTTATAACAGCCAGATCTTGATAGTATGTCATATTTCTCTATAAAAGAGGGTATAATCGAAGAAAATGTTTCATGTTATTGAACTTGCCATTTCGTATACAATAATTTTGGCTTGGAATAGTTGGAGGTGATTTGAGATTAGCAGACCATGAAATATCGTTATCTAACTCTAAAAAGTCTGAACACGGCTTAATCCTGTCCTGATGTAACAGTTTCCATAACAGCGAGAAGCTAGTATTGGGCAAGATCGCACATTAGACAAGAGATCAAAAATGAATGACGATGCCTATCTCAAGGCAGATGAAATCAAGATTGAATAGGTCAGAATGGGGATTTTGTGCAAAGAACTACAGTGGTCGAATAAACAATCACGAATCTATGAATGTCAGACTGAACCATGAATCCCTTACACACAAAAGTTATGTTAACTAAAAAGCCAAATGACACTTGGGCGAGAAGCATGAAGTAAAAAACTTACATTCATCGTGTAATTGTGTAAAAAATGTTGAAGATGATAAATAAGATTGTTTGCATCAATGGCAGGGTAGAGGTAAGGAGAGACCTAAAAGAGAAGGGGGAAACCAGAAATGAAAGTGGTATCAACAATAGATAATTCATAATATGGATAAGGTAATAGTATCAATTGGATTACAATGCAAATAATGACTTATGAGTTCGTTGACTGGTAACAGACTGGAGTACACATTACTGCATAGCGAGAAAGGCATTGGAAACCGAAAATAGGGGATATACACCAGGATGCAATACAAGCCTGATATTCAAGAAATAACCCGTCTTTTGGTCTCTTCTATGCTGAATCATAAATCGTACCAGCGATAATGGCAGACCCTGCTTTTATTAGCCCAGTCAAGACAAGCAAGCACACCCACACAAAACGAAGCGGCGATCTCTGGTGCTGTTCATCAATTTCAGGCTAAGAATTCTACCGAGGCAGTAGAGATGAAGACTCTCGTATCCACAATTCGAGTGCACACAACAATCTAGAAAAGGCAATAGTAGTTATGAATATCACCATATTCTGCGGCAAGATGAATGTCTACAAGGGCTAAGGAGTACTAATTACACAAAAATCAAATCTTACACAGGCGATGAATCAATCTGTCTCACCTTCTTGCTGAAAATATGTAAAAGCCATTTAAATCAGGAGACAATGCAGTCTTCATCATGGCTACTACTGTCTAAAATCCCGAAATTCTGGAGGCCAGATTGAGCAAAAGATCATTGATAAGTACCCGAACCAAAAATACTTCCTCATCCAGGCTTGATGGCAAATAGGACTTCGCAAAGTTTCACCATTAGTCAAAAAGGGACTTAAGACGAATCAAGAGCAGCATGCCGCAAATTCACCACTCCGTTACGCAGTATAGCGTGGATGAGACTTTTAAGATAAGACATTTGATGCAAAAACGGATCCAAGCAGCAGCGTTCGGTTTGTTGCGAACGAGCAAATGATTACGATTATAAATAGTGAATTTTCCCAAAAAATTAAGCGTACTCATATAAAAAAAGAACTCGACACTAGAGCTGCCTACGTCTATATTACTGTCCAAGAAGTTGCCTGTACACACAATTAGGACGACCTAACCGATTTGTCTGATTCAGGTCTGAATGAACCTTACAACCACCTTTCAGGTTTCAGAGAAGAGAAAAGCAGCTCGGCAGTTTCTCAGCTCTTCATACGAATTGACAGAACAGTTAGACTTACATGATTTGAGCGAAGGGGCTCTTAACGACATTGAAGTTTACAGCCTACAATTAGTTGAGTAGTAAAGGATATATCGAGTCGTCGCTAGGATATTTTGTTCTGTAGTGGCAATCAGAAGCCTAGCCAATGACGAGAGAGACTCAAAAACACGAGTTCAAAACTGCTTTCTGGAGATGAGAAAAACTACTTGATCTGGTATTCCATTTTATAGGTCCAGCAAGTATTTGTGCTAAAGCTCGAAAATATCTCCGTCTACATTTGTGAAGAATTCTACGGCTTTTAGGCGGATTTTAAGAGGAAATTTGGTATTCAAGAGGGCCAATTAGTCTGATTATTAGGAATTTTTCGAAATTCGAAGCATTTTGTGATTCAGCATGATTTATAAATTCGTCGAAGCAAGAATCTACTTATGTGGGAAGGGTTGACAAAAGTTTCTTCGCAATAAGTATCAAAATAATAGCGCTATCCTTTCGGTAATTTGCTGGATCGTAGCTCGCAGTAGTGTAGATTGCCACCTTTAGTTTCATGCTTTTGAAAGCCAATCCCATCTAATATATCGATTTTAATGGCAAATAAAGCATGCCTGGTCGACAACTCCACCATAAACGTGTTTAGAGAGAAGCTTGGCTTGCCCTGAAATCCATATCTGCTCTGTGATGCCCTGACAACCATGGTGGCGGAGCGGTATCGCGTCACAACGACCAAGGGGAGATCGAAACTGTAGTCCACTCTGGATGACAAAACCTAGTAAGGCATATTTATTTCATGGTGGGAAATAGTCTTGAGACCAAATAAACACCCATATACTTTCATGGTATGCACGAGATCATTTTAGAAGCGAGATGGCTATGGAGTTTGCGAAGAAAAATCGTAGGATGTAAAATATGAACTGAGCTGTTTCTCACTGTGCCGTTATGAAGGGAGTGCTATTGGTGAAGACTAGTATCACCAGGGTACAATAAAGCTGTAACTAGGCTAAAAAAACATGATGCATACCTGTCTTATGTAAAATCACAAAACTATTTTGTCTGAATTACTACCATACCTGAAAGCAAGTTTTCTTGGTTGTGCAAAAAAGTCGTCACTAGGATTTTGTGAGTCAAGTCGTAAAAACGCAGAAAAAATTCTAAGCAAATTAGAAATATTTGGATATTATCAATGGATGCAATGGTCGAATTGATGCACAAAATAGATTATTCAATATGATAAAACTCCCTGGGACATTTTATGGTGTTAGTGACTGGGACTCCGCTGTATTTACGAAATTAGAATAGGTTATGACGCATGTTAAATAATTCTCTTGGAGACAAACTTAATGTTAAGATGATAA